TGAGGAGTCCAGCCCCACAGTAGAGATGACAAATGTAGTCCCTACAGTGTGGAATTTAATAAGCATAGTACTTTGTTCTTGCCTGTACAGCTTTGTCTCTGTAGCCTTTGAGGAACGTGTATTCTAAGAACTCACCTGCATGAAAGTGCCCAGGAGATCACAGGCAGCCATCTAGTGCTGTGAGCTCTGTACAGCTTTTCATTTAAGTCTGGCTGTCTGGAGAGAGGTGACTTTAGGGGGACCTCTGGCTGGGGTGCAGGGGGTCTTGCACTGATTTTCTCTTTAGTTGGCCTTAGAACAAGGTGATTCCTCATTTAGAGCTCTGAAGACCCTGATCAAGATCATAGTCTCTTCACTAGTTTCTCCTGGTGTCTGATTATATTTTCCCCATTGGAATTTAAGTTCCCTGAAGCCAGCAAGTTCACCTTTTAATCAACTACAGTCCCTAGACCACAGATGAGCCAGGAGAGTTAGGCAACACTGTTGGTGAGTCAGGACAGTGAAGTTTTCTGACTAAGCCCAGGTAGGTGTTCTTATGCCCCGGGACAGATGCCTGGGGCATTTTGGGTTGTCATTTAGGGTAGTGCTACCAAAATCTGATGGGTAAAAATTTAGGATGTTTGTGGCCACCATGCTCAGCCCTAATAACAAAGAATTATCGGGCCCTAAATGTCAGCTCCAAGGATAACAAATTCCTGGCCTATTGGAATTTGGTTATTGTCTAAATCGGATTATCTTTTCTCTTAACATGTCCAGCTCAGCTTAATTAGAGAACAGTTCTGCTTTCTTAAGCAGACATATTGGGTAGAGGTGAGTAGTACCTTTTTAAAAATTTTTAATATTTAGTTTTTTAGTTTTAGGTGGACACAATATCTTTTATTTTAATGTGGTGCTGAGCATCGAACTCAGTGCCTCAAGCATGCTAGGTGATCACTCTACCACTGAGCCACAACCCCAGCCCAAGTAATAGCTTCTTTGAAAGGTATTTTTTTCTTAAAATATTTATTTTTTAGTCAAACACAATACCCTTTATTTATCTATTTTTATGTGGTGCCGAGGATGGAACCCATGACCTTGCAGGTTCGAGGTGAGCGCTCTGCCGCTGAGCCACAATCCCAGCCCTGAAAGGCATTTTTGTTCCTAGAACCACATGTACCTAGATTGGAAGCTAGAGTCAGCTGAAGCTGCTCGGGACACCAGGCTTCCTAGTTGTTCAGTAGTTACCAGGTGGTAAATGGATTTAAAGAGCTTGGCCAGGTGCCTGGCACACATGGGTGCTCAGTCAGTATCTTGCTTGTTTGCTTGTGGTGGTGCAATTTTGTGGTGGGTGGGTAGCTAACCACTGTTTGCAAAATTGGATTTAAGAAAGGCCTTGTAGAAACCTTGGAGTTGAGAAATTGACAGAAACGCTGTGACAGCAATCTCCGTGGTTATCCTTATGTTTCCACCAGGATTTTATTAGAAATGCCAAATTCTGTCTATTTAGACTGCCTGTGATTCTTTGCAATGCCTCATTTAACAGACATTGCTTGTTTGTATCTGCGCCAGGCTTTGAAATCAGTCATTGTCTTCATCGTTATGAAGCTCCCAGTCTACCTGCAAAGATAGACACCGAACCTGCAGTTGGTGTACAGTTACTTAATTCAGAGGTCATACATGTTGTCAAGGATACATGGCATRTATATGAGAGGGTATTAAAATGGGGGAAGGCTGACCTATTCTGGAAGTTGAAGAAAAACATACCTGAAAAAATATTTAGACTGAATTTGAAATAACCAGGTAAAGAGGCAATGAGCTGGGTGGTGGGAAACATAGGGGCAGAACAAATAGCAGGCGAGACAGCCACCGTAAAGGAGCTTTCCAGAAAAAGAAAAAAATGCAGAGGACCCTGTGTCATAGGCTGGCAGGGAATGCCATGAGGTGAGGTGAACACAGAGTGGATGTACATCCTGTAGGGCCTTGTATATCTTATTGAATATTTTGGATGTTATTCTGAGACTCCTGTGAAGCAGGGTAGCAACATAATCAGATTTGCATTTTAAAAGAGGTTTGCTAGGTCATTTATGTTTCCAGACCACTTTTAACTTCTGAAAGATCAAACTGCCACCTACATTTAGGTGTGTGTGTGTGTGTGTGTGTGTGTGTGTGTGTGTGTGTGTTGGGGGGTTATGCTATTTAAAACAAAGCAAAACAGTTTTACTGTGATATAATCCATATACCATAAAATCTGTCCCTTTAAAATGTATAATTCAGTGGTTTTGATATAGTCACAGTTGCACAACCATCACCACTATCTAATTTTATCCCCACTCCCCTCTCCAAAAAAAATAAAAATAAAATAAAATAAAATAGTCTGTACCCCATTAGCAGATACTCCCTTTCATTCCCTGCCTTTATTGTCCCCTAAAAATCTACTTTCTGTCCCTGGATTTGCATATTATAAATGTTTTGCACAAAATTAGGTAGTATGTGACCTTTTATGACTGGCTTAGTTCATTTAGCATGGTTGTCAAGGTTCATCTTTGTTAGGGCACAAATTAGAACTTTATTCCTTATTATGGTTGATATTATTCTGTTGTATGGATCTACCACTTTGTTTTCTCATCCGTGATGGGCATTTGAGTTGTTTTAGCTTTTTGGCAATTTTGAATAACACTGCTGTGACTTGACATTTGTATTCATACAGATGGTACAAGAAAGGACATAGATTTCAACTTTAAAGAGCTTAACTTCTTTTTATTATGTATGGCATTCGGTTTAAGAAGCAGCTTCTTTTCTGAAAGACTTGTGTGGCAGTAAAGTTTCAACCTACATGTATTAATGTTGATGAGAAAAATGTCATTAAAAATCAGAGTTTTCTTCTTGGCACTTGACAGCAATATTTGCAGTTAATGGTGCCAGTTCTTGATTAGTTCTGGAAGTMAGAGGCCATTGTTATGCTGGTTTAGTTGTTCATTTTTAAGTGGATGCTAAGGAATTCTTTGCTCCTCAGTTTCAGTTGAACTACTTGTCCACTTTAATAGAATGTACTTGATTGCCTATTATCAAAGTAATGATTTTCATCTTGATTAGTCATTTTAGAGCATAAAAAATAAATAAAAGGTAGCAGGGCCTCAGTATTACAGAGTTCAGAATGTGTACCAGGAGATCACGAGTATAATAAAAAATGGTTTACAACCTGCACTGGGGCATGACTTCAGGCCCAGTAAGTATTAAGATTTAGTAAATGATTAAGCAAGAACATTTTCAGGCCAAGGAAAAGAGCGTAGGCAGTTAATACAAGAAGCTTCATAACTTGCTCTATAGGGTGGGGAAAATAAAGTTTTGTATGAAGTCCAAGTGGTTTTGGTAACAGTGGTTAAATGGTAAATTAACACAAATCAGTCAACAACTGGAAAGGTTTGGTGTATCTAGTTTGGGTTACAAAGTTTGTCAAATGATTCTTCTTTTTGTTGTTTTATAACTGGTTCTTTTTAATGTTAGTGTCAGGGATGTTACCCAAGATTTCATTCAACATTAAGCAAGTTTAGGATGACTATAAATTTGGTCCATCCATTGTGCAACAAGTTACAGGATGCCTACTGCTGATAAATGGTCACATTTGTCAAGGGCAAGCAATTTATTTCTTTGGCCAATAGACTCCTATTTGAGAAAAACTGGTGGTTTCATAGTAAATAATTGATTAATAATAACTGGTCTACTCTGCAGTTTCATCACTATACTTAATGGGCTCACTCTTATTTATCAGGCCATTTGAAGAATCTCATTGCTGCTATTATCATAGAATTCGCCCATGTGCTTGTGCTGTATTGGGTACATGCCTGCTTTATGTTGTTTAATCCTAATAGTCCCCTACCAGGATAGATAGATAGTAGTGGCATATGTAGTCTACCAGAATGAATAAAGGCTCAGATTAAGTGACTTGTCTGAGCTCACCTAGAAATGCAGAGCCAGGACTTGATTGTGGGGCTGACACTAAGTCTCACGTAGAGTTTCCTCTGCCACTATTTCTCAGTGAAACAGAAAACATTTATTAATGGAGTGTTAAATTTTATCTACAGTTGAAATTAGGAAGGATAGGAAGGGCAGCAGAACAGAACAGATAATATGATTGATGTATGTACATTCCATGTATGTATTATATATCAAAATTCATTCTGCTGTCATGTATGACTAAAAAATAAATAAATAAAAATTAAAAAAAATTTTATCTACAGTTGAAATTCTTGAATTTTGTTCTAAAAAGTATAATTTGGCTAGAGCCTATTCCTGGAAATTTGGTTCTTCGCTTGTTGTTACTTGGTTTTCTCATTGATTGCAGTATGACCTTAAGTAATTTCTTCATCTTTCTTAAGCACATTTGTTCCCATCTCTAAGGATGCCATATGCTCTGTTGTTAAACCTCAAGATTTCTAAAGGTCTCTTCTGTGTAGCCTACAAGACGACGGACAATCTAATGTAGTCACAGAGTGTTCAATTCTCCTGCCTACTGTAACTGAGATGTTTAGTGGTTTTGAGTTAAATCTTTGCACTATGTGACTGTTTTCTTATCTGAAAACAAGATTAACAATGTTAGCTATTTGCCTTCTGAAGTTGAATTGACTCTCAGGAAGGAAAGGCCAGCATAGCTCTTCTAGATCTCAGTGAAGGAAGCATTGGGCCAGGAGTCAGAGCACCTGGGCTGATGATCCGGTTCTGCCTCCAGTGGCTCTGCATGGCATGCAAGCCTTACCCTCCCCCCACCCTTCCCACCTGCCTTGAGGATTTATAATGAGAATTGAGAGGTCATGTCTGAAATGTATTTTATGCTTCATAGGCAATATGGGTATTAAAGATGATGATTGTCCTCAAAAGTACCATCATGAGATTATAGTATTTGGAAATCTTAGATTTGATTTTAGCTTCTGTTTTTTGTTTTTGATTTTCTTAGGTGACACTTCAGTTGTGTGTTTTAATTTTTTGTTCTTTTTTGTTCTTTTTTGTTCTATTTTGTTTTTTAGTGGTATGTGTGCAACAGAGAGAAATTATGTGAATCACTCCAGGCTGTCTTTGTTCAGAGTTACCTTGATCAAGGAACACAGATCTTCTTAAACAACAGCATTGAGAAATCGGGCTGGCTATTTATCCAATTATATCATTCTTTTGTGTCATCYGTTTTTAGCCTGTTTATGTCTAGAACATCTATCAATGGGTAAGTGAATCTTGGACATTTTGTTTTTCTTTATCCTTAGGTTTAAAAAAGGAAAAGTGAAAAAAGAAAGTTATCTTATTCAAAGTATTGACTATCTCATCTGCGTTATTCTTGTTTGCCAAAATCCTCCGCAGTAGATCCACTGTTCAGGCTTTCTGTGCTTTTGCTTTTAAAATTCACTATAACTTGGTGAATAGCCCTATGGCAAGAGTATAACTCTATGGCAAGAGTCACTTAATTCAATATTCACAGCTTTGATGTCCTTAGAAACCACCTGGGAGGTCTGTTAACATGTAGAATAAGAGGTAGTAGTAGGTCTGGGCGGGGCCTGAAATTCTGCTTTTTGTGTGTGATTCTGGAGATTTAACTCAGGGCATTATGCTCTGCAAGTGCTTTACCACCTGAGCTACATTCCCAGCCCTTTTGGTTTTTATTTTGAGATGGGGTCTCCTTAAGTTGCTGAGGCTCTGGCTTTGAACTTATGATCTTCCTCCCTCAGACTTTCAAGTAGCTGGGATTATAGACATCACCACTGTGCCTGACTGAGATTCTGCAGTTTAAGCAAGTCTCAGGTGATGCCAGCGATGCTGCTGCAGCCTGCTAGTTGTGCATTTCAGAGTAGCAAGACCCTTAGAACCAAATCCTTAAGCCCTTAGGCTGAAGAGCAAGACCTTAGCCTTAAACACAGTTCCCAGAGGTCTTTTTTTTTTAGGGGATTCTAATTTCTCAGCCCAGCAGTGGATGATGGTTTATTTGAAGAGTCTTACATTTGTTCTTACATAATGTCTGGGCTCACCAGGATTTTGTAAACTTATTGTAGATTTCTGTATTCCCAGACTGGTTCCCCCATATGAATCCACAGAAAAGGATTTAGGAATATTATTTATCCTTTTGAATCCAAATTTTCAAACATCCCCAAGGTCTTAGAATTCAGAAAGCCAAAGAGAAAAGCAACAGGGCATGATACTTAAAAAAGCCTTATTGGACCACTGAAGTCACTGGTTGGGCCCACTTTTCTTTTCCCTTGAGGTTTGGAGCCAAGTTCTGCTGAATGTCTGGATCCCAGTCTGTCATCTGGTCCTTAAATATGTTTTCAGCACCGCAAGCCACTTCTCAAGATTTCTTATTTGATGTTCTTCCTTATTGCTTGTGTGAAATTGCCTTACATTTGCTTCAGCAAACAGTTGTTATTTTTGTATTGGGAGTTGAGTTTATACAACTTGGTCTGACATTTTGTTCCTAAAATTGGTTGTACTGAATTTCTATCCTATGCCACTTATTCTTTCTTGGGACATTAGATGAGTCACTGTAGCAGATATTCTTATTTTGGGAGTCCTGTAGCTCTTTGAAAGTATAAAAGGTAGGAATCCTGTCTTCAAAAAGTAGTTAATTTTTTTTTTATGTAAATTGGGGTTTTTCAAACTCTGAATCTCTTCCCTCTTCCTCTACTTGTTGGAACCTTTATAAAATTCCCTGCTGCAGATTTTTACAGTTTGATCAAAGAGGCAATGAGATTAATAAACCCCTTTGGTTTCTCGTATCTCTCTTTTATTTTATTTTATTTTTTTTGAAATGGGATCTCTCCTGTTGTCCAGGCTGGCCTCAAACTCCTGGGCTCAAGCCATCTACCTGCTTCAGCCTCCCAAAAAGCGGGGACTACAGGCATGTGCCATCTGCCTGGCTCATTATGCTCTTTACTTTTGATTATTATTTTTTTAACCCACTACCTCCCTGCCAGCACATCCCTCTTGCCCTGTGTTCTCTTCTCAACAAAAAACTTAATTTTGAGTTTCTTGGTACTTTCCACCCATGGCAATGGTAGATTATTACAAGTGACTGCCTCTTACAGAAATAAATAATTATGGTAGTACTGTCTTGAATTAAAGTTCTTATCAAACTAACTCTATGATAGAAAGGAGAAGGCCAAATAGTGAGATACTTGCTGTTTTCAGAGTTTATTTTGCAAGAGGCAGACCTCCTCTAAAGACTCCAAATCGAGAGAGAACTTGGATTGAGGCCAGAGAACCTAGGAGGGATATAAAAGACTAAAGTCAGAGACAAATTAGAGAGCCACATCTCTTTCATGGTTTGTGTTTACCAGAAACCTTGTATCAGACTAAGTGTCTTGATATTTTGGATGGGACAATTTTTTTTGTTATGTTAGACTTCCCCACACATTGTAGGAAGTGTAACTTTTCTGGCCTTGCTTACTAAAGGACATTAATACCCCCAAGTCACTGCAACTGAAACTCCTCCACTGCCCCTAATAGGCAAAGTTGGTCCTGGTAAACAACATTGGGCTGGATGGACTTGACTTTTAATCTTTTAAAGCCATATTGCTGATCTTTGGAAATAGAACAGTGCTTCTCCTCTCTCTCTGGTGCCCTTAAATATAGATAAGTCAGTAAGTCAGATGACCTTATCAACTCTGACCTCAGATGACCTCCAGTTCTAGAATTTGATGGGTATCCTGACAGTATTTCTCATATCCCAAGAAGATGGCCTGGAAAGCATGTTGTTTTATAGCTGGGAAAGTTTATGCAAAATAACTATTTTGTGCAGTTACTTTGGTCCTGTGCCAAGTCAGCATCAAGATTTAAAATCTGCCTCCTGAAGCCATGCTGCTTGTAGCCTCTTCCTTCTTTGACTTTGGGGCCCGCCTGCAGTTCCTGCAGCTATTTCAGCAGCAGGTTCAGTCCCTTTTCTCAGCTATGCATGTATTTCCACGAGRAGATAAGAACAGTAGAGGATTAAAAACAACTTGTCTTTTTTTTGAGATATCCTTCTCTGGTAAGTGGTTGTAATTTATAACATCATGGTTGGTTGTCTCTGGGGTCTTTCCTCCCCACTCCCCAGACTTTGAGCATTTCTCTGGGCCAGATTTACTGTAAATGTATTATTAAATTTGGTGGCCTTAAATTAGCTCTTATTAAATTATTAAATTTAACTCTTCTGAGGCCTTAATAGGAAAAAAGGAGGGGGAATTTGTTGCATGAACTCCCTCCCCTGTTTTTTTTTTTTTTTTTTTTTTTTTTGAAACTGGTCTTGGCTCAAGTAAGCTGTTGCATGCACTTTTTCAGTCACTATGTAGCAAACATATTTTTGTGTTCTGATTGGAGAAAGTGGCAGTAGAGATTTCCTTGCTGTGTCCTAGACCAGTGAGTTTCAGTATGCTTTCCAGAGTGTGAGGAAGAAGTGCCTCAGGAGTTACTTCAGGTTGCAAAGAGAATCCCAGAAGTGGGCTGGTGGCAGCTCCGGGGCTCTCAACCTCGTGCCAGCAGCAGCAGCAGCAACAGCTCTCTTGCCATTTTATACTATATATGAGTGCCACTTCCTTTAAGCAGAAGAACCTTTTCTTTAAATGAAGTTGGATAATTCCTTCCCCAGACAATGTAGGATTTGAGAGCTAGAGGTCAGGTTCTAAATATGGAGTTCGTTGTATTTCCCAAAGTGGTGCTTCCAGGAGACTTGGCTTTTCCTTGGGTTCTCTTTGATCTCCATTCTCATTCCTCTCAGGTTCTTTTTTTCAAAGGCATTATTACTATTGGGAATGTTTTTTAGGACCTTTGGAAATAACAGGACCAAGCCAACTGTAAAACATAAACCTAAACAAATACGAATCTACTTCTTTAATGCAGATTAACTGATGTCACAAAGACCTTTCTTTTCCTATTTTTTTTTAAGGTTCTTTTAAAACTATTGTACAAAAGCTAATTTTTCCCCTTCACCCACTGTTTAGTTCCATCTTCCAATTGGCCTTTTTTTCCTACTTGATTTCTCTGCATAGTATTGGGGATGATTCTGTTAGCCCGTCATCTTTTTAACTGATAAACATGTTCTGTTACTCCTTCTGCCTTTCCTTCCTGTTTTGACTTAAATTCTTCACATTCATCTTTCAGTTTCTTATTCATTCCTTCATCCATTCCCTTCCTCCCTTTTCCTTTTCCCATGCCTTTGAGGGTATTATTTACAACTCTAAAGACAAATGCTATCTGTAGTTATTTTCTTATTTTATTTGCTTTTTAATCTTAAAGTCATATAAAAGATATTTTAATCATAAAACTTTTATAAATTCAAAGGGTTGTTGGTGCTGAGTCACTACATTCACTTTTTCATGTATATTGGGTTTAATTTGCATAGACTCTTCCATTTTTGTCCTTTTTTTCCAGGTTGCTAGGAAGAGGTTCAATGTTTGTATTCTCACCAGATCAATTTCAGAGACTGCTTAAAATTAATCCAGACTGGAAAACCCACAGACTTCTTGATTTAGGTGCTGGAGATGGAGAAGTCACAAAAATCATGAGCCCTCATTTTGAAGAAATCTATGCCACTGAACTCTCTGAAACTATGATATGGCAACTTCAGAAGAAGAAATACAGGTACTATTTCTAGACATGGTTTGGGACATACTTCTTGGTTTTTAGATGTTTTTCTTCTTGAAAGTATGTTATTTAAGGTGTATGGATCAGAAATCATTTTCCATGATTAGGAACTAAAATATAATATATTTCCATATATAATTAAATGGAAATTTAGAGAGGAAATAATCTTACCATAGCAGTATTTTTTTCTGGAGCAGAGGAAGGAAAAGGACTAATGAGAGAGCTTGGAAAAGGCACATTAGATGTAGAGACTTGTTCCCCAATCAGAATCTGATAATCGTAAATATTTTGTATGTTTAATATTAAGTACATTTGCATTGTTGCACAAACATCACCATCATCTATCCCCAGAACTTTCTCATCTTCCCCAACTGAAATTCTGTACCCATCAATCAGTAACTCCCTTTTCTTCCCTTCTTTCAGCCCCTGACAACCACCATTCTACTGTGTCTCTGAATGTGACTATTCTAGGTACCTCATATAAGAGGAATCATATTTTTATCTTCTGTGCCTGACTTATTTCACCTAACATAATGTCTTCCTGGTTCATCTGTGTTGTAGCATGTATCTAAATTTCTCTTGGTACCAAATAATATTCCATTGTATGCACATATCACACTTTCTTTAGCCATTCATCTGTCAGTGGACTTTTGGGTTGCTTYTACCTTTTGGTTAATGCTTCTACCATTTGGCATTGTGAGTAATGCATGAACATGCGTGAACATATCTATTAAAGTCTCTGCTTTCACTTATTTTGGATATATACCTGAAAGTGGAATTGATGGGTCAAATGGTGAGCCTTAATATTTTGGAAAATTTGCCATATGTTTTCCATAGCAGCTATACCATTATTGTATTCTCATCAACAGTGTTCAAGGGTTCCAGTTTATTAACATCCTTGACAATTATTGCTATTTTCTATTTTGTTTTTTAATAATAGCCATCAGTAATGATACGTAGGAAGTGTCAAATCTTAGTTTTAAGAGACTTAGGAAGAAGAGACTTAGGAAGAAGAGCAATCTTTATTCAGTATGGATACTTTTTGTTAGGAGATTTCTGTGTATTGGCTGAGTATAGAATGGAGGAGCTGGAGCTGGAGATGGCCTCCTCTATGGTATTTTGGAAGCCTGGCTTAGCCTTGGAGAGAAAGAAGAAGAATGTGTAATCACTTACTTTGCTATTTCCATGTTTTTACTTTTTACAGACTAACACTAGACATGGAGCATCAGTGTACCTTTTGGAGCAGGACTGGACTGAACATTTGCAAAATATAGAACTCCTTAGCCCAGGGAATGGGAAGACTAAGTAGGAGGCAATGGAAGGGAAGATTATAGTAAACAGATATTTAGTGTGATTTTCTATGGAAGGAAGGAATAAATGTAATAATGTCTGGTATAACTGAGTATAGGCCTGTAATCCCAGCAACTCAGGAGTCTGAGGCAGGAGGATTGCCAGGTCAAGTCTAGCCTCAGCAACTTATCAAGACCTTGTCTCAAAATWAAAAATTAAAAGGGCAGGGGATATAACTCAGTGGTAAAGTGYCCCTGGTTTCAATTCCTGGTACCCAAAACTAAACAAACACACAACAAAATAAGGATGAATTTGAGCTAGTGTAGGTATAGGTTTAACCATTTCAGCATGCAAACTTTAATTTTCTGTTAGGAGAATATATTTCTGTCTTTCACATGAAAACTACCTAACTAATTCTGGGATGGATTTAGTGAAATTATTCTACATTACAACATGCTGATGGTATTTGGCTTCTGATTCATTGTACATGTGAGTTTCTTTTAAAATAAAGTATATAATTTATCTTTTTAATTGCTCATTTCAATGTTTAAAATCAGAACTGTTGGAAATTTTATCCTAAAACTATAATCTTTACAGTAATATTTTGAAATTCTTCTTTAATGCCATAAATCAAGTTTGTTAATCTCAGTAAAACAAAATGATTTTGAAGCCCTAGTGCTCTATTTATTTCAATCAATATTTAGTTCAATTAAACACCTGTACAATAGGCTGGGTACAGTGGTGCATGCCTATAATCCCAGTGGCTCGGAAGGCTGAGGCAGGAGTTCAAAGCCAGCCTCAACAACAGTGAGGCACTAAGCAACTCAGTGAGATCCTGTCTCTAAATAGAATAAAAAAAGGGCTGGAGATGGGGCTCAGTGATTGAGTGCCCCTGAGTTCAATCCCTGGTTTACCCCCCCCCCCAAAAAAAAAGACCCAAACCTAAACAAATCCAAAAAACCACCACCAACAACACTTGTATAACAAAGGAATATGACTGGTTACTTTAAGTTAGACTTGTTTAGAGGTGACTCTGTTTTATAAAAATATAGATTGAAAAGAAGATGTAACTAAGTGACTTATGTTCCTTTTTGTTCTATTCAGAAATGCTATAAAATATCATTGTTAGTAATGTTTCCAAAATAGCCCTCATTATACTTTTAGAATTTTCTAAGATACCTCCTTGTTCAGCATTATTAAAGACTTGTTTTCCACAGATCCTTTTCTCTGTTTCCTTTTTCACCTGTTTCTATTCCAACATGTTCTACTTGCTACATTCTGACTGGTGTAAGCAGGCAGGAGTAAGTAGTTTATAGAATTGACTCAGTGATTTGGTTAGCAAAGACTCTGTCTCTTTTTTTCTCATAGCTTTATTGAGGTAAAATTGAAGGGCAATAAAATGCACATATTTTGAAGTATGCAATTTGACTGGTTTTTGACATGTATGTAACCAGTATACTCAATAGAAAAAGCATCTCCATCATTTTTTTAATTTGAAATCATGCAGACTGTGTTTCCTGCATGATTTATTACATTAGAAATCAGTCACCTTAAGATATATAGAACCTCACCCCCCAGGTTATCAAAGACTTGATATTAAAAACTTCCCCTTTCTGAGATAAACATTGTAAAAGACTAAAAATGGTATGGGGGTGGGGGTGGGGGGGTAGGTGAGATTTTCTAATCATGTTGTTCGCTTATAGTTTTATGAGGATGTCCTATGCTTTATGTTTTTCTGAGTAGTTATTTAGACATGAAGATTCTAGAGTATGAAATTGTCTCCTGGCAATGGATATGATGAAAAGATTTTTAGGTTACTATTTTATACTACTCCATTCTTAGTATAGGAAGGACCCTAGGAATAGAAAATATGAATATATTTTTTTTTATGATTCACTGCTAGTGAATGTTAAAAAGTTAGATTAATTCTTTTGTTCTTTCATTGGAGAAGAGAACTAATTTTTATTACTTTGTGTCTTCTTTCTTATTAAACATTAGTTCTTATAAAGAAAGTTCTGTATGTTTTAGTATTTGTTAATAGGAGAAATGGTAAATTTAAAGAAACATGGTTGCTGTTTGTCTCTTTTCTGGCCTTTGTATTTTTGAAAATATAAATTATAAGTGAATATTTTGAGTTTACTTTGTTCTGGAAGACAAAATTAGAGCCTTTATTGGCATCTTAAATTATTTTAAAAAGATGTCTTCAAAGCAAGAAATATTAGTCAAGTTCTTTCTGATGTTTTTCTAGAGTGCTTGGAATCAATGAATGGCAGAACACGGGGTTTCAGTATGATGTCATCAGCTGCTTGAATTTGCTGGACCGCTGTGATCAGCCCCTGACTTTGTTAAAAGATATCAGAAGTGTCCTGGAGCCAACTAGAGGCAGAGTCATTCTTGCCCTTGTCCTTCCTTTTCATCCCTATGTGGAAAATGGTAAGTATGGTCAGACCAAATCTTATCCAGAGTCACAATTAAACATTGTCTAATGTTTTTTAAAATAGGCTGGAGTTTAAAGTAAAACTGTTATCTCATTTAAAATATCACCTTATCAGGCTGGGGTTGTGGCTCAGAGGCAAAGCTCTTGCCTAGCATGCGTGAGGCCCTGGGTTCGATCATCAGCACCACATTAAAAACTAAATAAAGGTATTGTGTCCACTTACAACTAAAGAATAAAAATTTTTAAAAAAAAATCACCTTGGTTAATGTTCATCTTAATGTTGATTTTATAGAACTCTAGTACTCTCTTGCAGTGAAAATAATTAATACTCAGCTGGACCTGCCTACTTGAAGTTGAAAGCCTAAAATGTGTTTGTATCCTCTGGTTTTAAATGGAGCTTCAGCCATTTATTTATTAGTCAATAAATGATGTGTTTTCATCTGCTCATCTGTACTTGCTGAATGTCATGCCTGTTTTGTTTTGCACTTTTCATTTCTTGTCCCAGACTAAAAAAAAAAAAAGATAGTAGTTGTTACCTGTTTTTCTCTTTTGAGAAAATATATCATTTCTTTGAGTAACATTTGATTTTATTTCATGATTTTGTTCTTCAGCAATATTAAATGAAGATTATTTTAGAAGAAATGGGCTTGTTTCATATCACTGCAGATTTATTATGACTTCTGGCATTTAATGTGACCTAATGTCACATGAATTCATAGTTTTAGCTTAATGTGTTTTGCATTTCAGATCATCTTGGAAATTTTGGCTTTAAGTCTCTCTTTTGTATTTTTATAAGTTAAAATACATAATATAAAAATTATTTGTTGTATAAATCATACATGTTAATTCTTAAAAATCTTTAGTTCTGTTTTGTGGTCTAGTTTAGCCATTCTTCAAAAACTCTTTAACAGCTGGCAGACATTCTAAGAAATCCATTACTACTTTGCAAGTGTCATAGTTATTAGATATCACGAAGTCTTTTTTTTTAATATTTATTTTTCAGTTGTAGTTGGGCACAGTACCTTTATTTTGTTTATTTGTTTTTATGTGGTGTTTAAGATCGAACCCAGGACCTCTCATGTGGTAGGTGAGCACTCTACCACTGAGCCACAACCCCAGGCCCATGAAGTCTTTATCTTAAGGAACAATGCTTACATTTCTTACAACCATGAGTGCTATATGGGTTTATGTTACTATTTACATGTGCCTTAATTTTTTCTTGTCCTTATTTTTGTTTCCTATGTGCCTTAGCCTTTCAGATTGAATGCTTAACTACCTTGTGGTTTTAGATTTGTGTTGATAGTGGGGAAAAATGGGAACTCTTTAGACATGGGAGGGAAGGAAGAAAGTTAGTACAGATACCTTCTCTTATCTTGCTTCATCATTTTTACATTCCTATTAGTCTTGGTAAAGCAAAAACTGCTTGAATGGTGAGTGCCTATTTATCATGTATATGTTACACAGTGAATAAAATCTAGTAAATGTCCTCCTTGGGAATTCAGCAACCYGACTTTGTTTCAGTGCTGCTCCCTGTGTAATTAAACCTAGGCTCCATCTCTCTGCGTTGGTCTCACTAGTCATCAGGTTGTAAGGTTCTGGTTTCCTGTGTCCTGTTGGGCAACCACTTGACAGAACTTTAATGCTACTTCCTGGCATAGCAGGAGGTGGAAAAGCAGGAGGAAGAAACATTAGTGTAACCACAAATCTTATTTCCATGTGTTTCTGACACTGAAAATCAAGAGGAAGTCAAACTGGACAAGAGGGCAGTCTCCACTAAGGATTGAAACAAGCTCCTTGATTGTGGATGTTTGGAGCTGCCTGTGGAGTCTAAGGAGTCCAGCATGTGACACATTGCAAACTCGAGACAAGAAACCTTGTTGCTATGGGTGACCTTTAGTGACCTATAAATTTTGCAGACTGCTCTGTAGCACTCTATTATTGCTTCCTTTCTCCACATCACTAATTAGATCCTGATGAGTTCCATGTGAAACTGAGGTCTGGGAGATGCAAAGTGATCATGCGTGTGAGTTCATGAATACTGGCCTATATTAAAGCTGAGTGTCTTTTGCCTGCCTACTTGACTTAATTTCTTCAAAAAAAAATTTTTACTGGTGCATTATAATTACACATAGTGGGATTCATTATGTGGCATTTGTACATGCACATGACATAATTTGATCAATTTCATTTCCCAGTATTTATTTTTTAACAAAAGCAATTGAAGGTGAAATGATGACTTGTGTAATTGTTTGGGCAAATGTCTTGAAGTTGAACCGCATGGATTTTATTGTGAAGATTAACTTGAAAACAGAAAATGCAACAATGTATCGTCCCGATTTCAGTTTCTTTGGTTTACTGACCCAGTCTTGGGTAGGGGTTGTTAAATCTAGTTGGTTAAGTACCCCAAAGAATTGGTTAACTACCCTAGAATAAAAAGGAAAAATACTAGATTAACACAAGAATTATATTATAAAAATGAAAATTTAATGACATGATTTTTTAAAATTGTAATTTTTATACAAAATGATTCATAGTAAAAATAGTTCAAATAGCTTATAAGAGACTATACAGTGCAAAGTTTCTCATCCATCCCAGTTCCACAGTCTTTTCAGGTTATCTTAAATATTCTTCAGAAGTTAAGTCTATGCACAAGCTGAAGCAGCCCATTATAAGTACTTTAGTTGCCTTTTCCACTTCAACATATGTTGGGAATTTTTCCATATCATCACATAGGCATCTTCATCATTTTCTGGATGTAAGTCATGGTATGCTGGAGCTGGCTCAGACTGGCTCATGGCACCTAATTATTACATTGGTAGGGATTTAGCAAACTGGTTGTTAAATATGGCCAGTATTACATTTGATATTAATGGGAATGTTTACACCATGGAGTTTGGCAAATACCACAAATACCCTCTCCCCTCTATAAGCTGGTTGTTGAACATTTACCAACCACCACTAAATGTACGGAGAGAAGGTGGTTTGCTTTCTAATGTTAAAAAAAAGGTAGAAACTTTTGTTTGTGACTTTAATGAAAATATTTCTATTTGAAATATTTTTCACTTGAGATCACTGTTTCATTTGAAATACATTTTTAAAATTCCTGTTTTACTAAGAGCCTAAAAAATTAGAAATTCATACTGAATTTTGCCATCTGAGTTTTTAATATACAGAGATGGTCATATTTTTTTCTTCCTTTGACTCATTAAATCAATATTCTCTTTTTATATATAGCCATTATATTATTTTTGGACTTGGATCATCTTTTAATGCACTACTAGATTCTATTTACAAAAATTCTAAAAATATATAATCATTAATATTGTTGATAAACGATAGTCTGTGCTTAATCTTTATTTTTCTGGAGGGTGTTACCTTTGTTTGGGTGTCAGTGTTCTGTTGAATTTTAAAAAAATAATTGGGAATGTTTTGTTGTTTGTTCATTCTTTGAAAGTTTGGTGGGATTCTCCTATGAAACATTTTAGGCCTGTGCTTTTGGAGAGGTGTGGCTCTTTGGCAACCTTTTCATTCTCTCCCAGGGTCATTGGTCTGGTTAAATTAAACATGTTTAGTCTCAAGGGTCTCATCAGTCTAGATAGAAATAAACAGGACTTTAGTAGTCTTTTTCATGGAAGAGCATGGAATTTTAGAGATGACCTCTGTTGAATTTGAAATGTGAGTTTCTGGGTCTCTCAGTTATCTCAGAGCTTCATCTGCAAAAAAGGGGGTTAATACCTACCTTGAGGTTTATAAATATTAGGATTATTACATTCTATCCTGTTCTATTCCTTTTTTAAAAATTGTGGCTATATTGATTATACTTGTTCACTGTTCTTCAGATTGAAATATTTGTCAAGGTCTGCCTAAAACTCTTAACTCAGAAATCAGAATTTGAAATCTTCATTCTGCATTTTAACTGTCTGAAAGTGCATTCTCCATTGTTTTATGTGACTTGACACCTTAGAGACATAGCTTCTCTCATCTTATACAGTATGAAAAGGAAATCACTTATTTTGAAAGTCCCATTAATATATTTTGGTATGTGGTTTTGGGGAGCTCTTGCCTAGAAAGTAGGGTTTGTAGGTGCTAGAACATCTTTTGGTCCATTTTCTTCTTAGAAATTAGGAGGTGAGAGCCTTTGGCAGTTAACTAGGATTAGATGGGTCACAAGGTCAGGACCTTCATACACGTGATTAGTGTCCTTATTAGAGGTCCGAGAGATCTTGCTTCTCTGCTCTCTGCCAATGGAGGATATAACAAGTGAGCAGTCTGCAGCTTGGAAGATGGTCCTTACCAGAATCCAGCCGAGTAGCACCCTGATGTTAGATTTCTAGTCCTCCAGAACTCAAGAAGTTGTTTATAACCCAACACCCCCCCCCCCCCCCCCCCCCCCCCCCCCCCCCCCCCGTCTGTAACAGCTTGTTTTAGCAACCCAAACTAAGATAGGTTGGTTCAATTTTATTTTCTTTTCACTGTTGTGGGAAACTCAAATCTTAAGGGAAAGCTACAGTTTAAACCTTCCAGTGATAATTCTGGATATTCAGATAGCAAAAAAAAAAAAATAAAAAAATAATATTTTAGAGATTCAGTGAATACAGTCTTTATGGAGGGGGTTAGAGTCAATGACTAGAAAGTGAAGTATGCTACACTTCTCATGGAAATTCTAAAAGATTAAATAAAAATAGAACCATTGTTCAGTTGTATTCATATGAAGGCATTTGAGGGCCTACTATGTACCAGGCAATGGAAATACAAATATAAATGGGAAGTATGCTTTTAGTCTTGAAACACAGAAGATACATGTAACAGGCAATGGCAGGGTAGTGTGAAGAGAAATACGACAAAGTACTGTGTATTTCAAGAAGGAAAGATCCTTTAACTGTTGATTTGGGGAAGGTTTTGTGCTAGAAGTGGCATTGTGCTGTTTTTCTGTCTTTTGTTTCTGCGGTGCTGAGGATTGTACCCAGGGCCTTGTGTGCACTAGTAAGCTGTGTTTGAAGTCTTGGAAGCATTTTACCAGACAGAGGGGAACAGCGTATGCAAAGTATGAAGGCGCGGATACAGCGCAGGTCGGCATATCGTGGGTTCAGTGTAATCCAAGGATAGCACGCAGAGTACGCTTTGCCTAAAAGTGTAGCACTCAATAAATTTGGTTGGCTACATGGATGAATGAAAGCACGAATGTTATACACGCACCAGGCACTCTTCTATATGAGCTGGGGAACAGAACTCCTTTCTTTGGGAAAGTGATCTTTGAAACACAGTCCTTGCTTACATTGGAAAATGTATACTCAGAAGTTAATACTAGTTTATCTTAGGGATTTTGTCTCTTGGTTAGTTAACACAAGGAGCAGTGTCTTTTCAGCCCTGGAATTAAGTGCCAAAATGTAATGATTGCCAGAATGAAAAGTAAATGATCTAATTCAGCACTCCTTCAGTTCATCTAGATGGAATTAGTATTTGCCCTTTTTTTTTGCCATCTGGTTCAGAAGTTCATTTATTTCACCTCAGCCAGTAGTCTCAAAGTGAGGGTGTGAACCTTGGCACACAGAAAATTTATTTTTGAATTATAGGAAGAAAAATTTACATCTCTATTTATGCTGCTGTTTATACCATTATTTTATTTGTTTTTGTGTATAAGATACAAACACATATATACACATGCGTATGCTACACACAGCTTGCACCTGTACAACATATACATGCACACATGTACACACAAGTATGCTTCATCCTCTGCCTTTTTTATTTTTCTGGGCACATGTTTTCAGAATGGTTTGATATCACTGATTTAAGCCATCAGTGTCCTAAAGTATTTAAAAATTATATCTTGGTTATAAAAAGAATATGCTTAAATAATTTAATGCCAGTTTAAAGGAAACAACTTTAATGAAATAAGCACAATACATTATAATTCATGTTTAATAACAGAAGCATGCTTGTAGGTACTTTAGATTGTTTATACCTACTTAGCTTTCAAAGAAAATTTGTATCATATTTTCTTAGTGCTCTGGTAATGAAGTCCATAACATGCTTGCTGTACCAGTCCAGTGTCTGCTATTTCCCTCCTGAATTGGTCAGAAATCGGGATTGTAGAGGTCTTTGTGCCATCAGGATGTGGCCTTCCAGGGTGCTCTTATTTGGCACAACACTGACATCTAGAGTCAGTTGTGGCTTATTTCTTCTGAGGTTTTCTCTGTTTCACATTCTGCTTTGAATTTTCCATATTTTGGAATTTATATTCTTATTCTATTCCCTATTCTCACTTTTTGTTGGTGGCATGATATTTATTTTGCATACCCTGGTAAGGAAATATGTACTTTTTCATTGCCCCATTAAAATATAGAGGAAATAATTTTTGCTCCAAGGTACTTTTCAAAATGAATTCTTCTAACTCAAATTTCAGCATATTTCTCCTTCTCTTTATGCCTTCCCGCTGATGCTAATTGTTCCATCATTTCTACCACCCACAAAGACATTTCTTCCACTCAGGATTGAGTCATGTGGTTGACTTCAAATCTTCAGGGTAATCGCCATCACACACTTATTAACATGTTAAATGAAACAGATGCAGGATACATGTCAGAAAATTTTTTGAAGCTGCATGCCTATAATCTGATTAGGTTGCTTAGAATTTTATTGGCAAATTAGGAAAGAACTTTTCAATTGCATTTTGTTGGGTTTTAATTACTATTAGTTGTAGCTTCCTTATGCCCTGGCCGCCTTTTTTGCAGCCAGTTGTCTTTTCCTTTTACCTTTATTTGTTTTTTAAATGATCTGATTGGTGCATTTCCATAGCTTCTGGAGTTGGATTTTCAGTGAATTAAAATTTGAAAATCAAAATATATCTATGGTCTTTCACAGTTGGAAAGTGCTCTTCTGTTTTCATAAATATTGTCTTTCTCCTACAATAGAAAATAATGAATGGTGTTTAAGGTTATGTAACCAATGATGCCATCCTCCATACCACATATAAGCTGCTCTGCCACCTTGCATTCTGGGTCCTAATTATCCTTCCAGTAGGATGTTGGGACTGAAAAATAATTTTCTTGTCTAGATGTCATTGGCAAAGTCCTGGGTGGGAACTTTACAGTTCTTACTTCTAGGCCTTCCTTCAGGCCTCTTACTTTTGCCTCTTTGTTGAAGAAAATTCCTTAGCCTCAGTAAGAAAAAAGTATGAATGAACAGGCATTTGTAATTATTTTGAGTGCTGTCCTAAGTAACTGAACCATTGTCTTTATGTATTTGTACATACAGTGAAGGATGAAATGACTACTTGGACAACATTCTCTCTCTCTCTTTTTCTTTTAATATACTTTTTACAACTTTATTTATTTATTTTTTAATGTGATGCTGAGGATTGAACCAAGTGCCTCACCTGTGCTAGGCAAGCGGTCTGCCACTGAGCTACAGCCCCAGTCCCACAACATTCTCTTGAGTTAAAATTCTTTTTAAAATAAAAAGGGTTAAAATAAGCACACCTTATAATCACTTTGCTGTTGGCATTTGGTCTCAGATGCAGTTTAAGAGGAAAATAATGTCAGTTGTGATTAATTTTACATTTTAAGTCTGAGAATCTGACTGTGTATCATGGAAACAGAGTTCCTGTTGTGCTGTCGGAAAATCCTGTTTATGTAGGACTTTCATCAGAATGTATTATAGATAATACAGATGCACTCTACCTGTCACTCCAACCCCAAAGACTGAAGAAATACTCATTTTTATATCATTAGCTCTATCTTTTCTAATGTGAAGTTTTTGTTTTATCAGTAATAAGTAATTTAAAAAATAATTGATCTAGGCACCATGGCATATGCCTGTAATCCTGGTGACTTAAAAGTCTGAGGCAGGAGGATCACACGTTTGAGACCAACCTGGGAAACTTAGTGAGGCCCTAAGTAGCTTAGTGAGACCCTATTGCAAAATAATAAATTAAAAGGGATGAGGATATAGCTCAGTGGTAGAGTGCCCCTGGGTTTATCCCCAGTACTGGGGCGGTTGGGGGGGGTGCATAAAACAAGAGCAAAAAACCAATTACTTTTTAATCTACAAAAGCATCCTTGTCTGTATTGAAAACATTGTCTGTGTCCAGTGTGTTTCTGAGTGTTCAGTGTCACTTAAGATACCAGCCTGGGGCTATTTAATATTGTATCAAATGTCCTTTGTTATGTATTTATCAAAACAGGTTCTGTGTAAAAATGCATTTTATGTGAAGGTCTTTTTTCAGATTCTTTTAAAGGAAAATATGTACTGACAGCTTGTTGGCAGTCTAGTTTTTTTCTGTGAAGCATGCTTTATGCCTGTATTGCATCTTTTTGGCATTTTATACTTACAAGTTGTGGGCCTGTTTCTGCGTATCTTTTGTGATATAGTTCTTGAGCAATTTCCTGAAAAATACGCCGAGCACTTTTCTTCTGTAAATACAAATGAGAAAAAGATCTCTCTTTCAGGAGCATAAGTGATGATTTGTGCACATCATCAGAGCTTTTTCTTTATTTACTGTCGCCAGTCTCAGAAACTACATACCAACACATCTGCACTACAGCTAACTCTTTAGTATTTTGAGTCTATTCAAAGGGTGGAGAGCTGTCAAGTTGAAATCACAGCTAAGCACTTGAGATTATCATGAAGATTCTCAACAGTTAGAAAACATTAGTATCTGGTTGAAACACATACTCTCTGTGTTTCTTAAACTATTTTGGATTTCAAATACTTACAACTAGCTACAATTTAAAAAATATTTTACCTTTTGTGAATCTTCTTTTGTTTCTCTGTTTCTTAGAATATTAGATTTTGACTGTCAAGAAGAAAAGGAAAGTCTGTAAATATTTTATGCACTTACAATAATTGTGACAGATGTGTCATACCATAATAGGATTAAACTAACAATATTTAAATGATATACAATAAGTATTAATAGTTTTCATATTATTTCTGAGATACTTTTATTTCATTAGTAAACTAAATAACTCAAACTAATGTTTATCGTGGAATTTGTAGTACTTCTAACATAAGACATAAACATCCGCTCTTAAGACATATGTAAAGTCAAGTTATATTCTTTTTAAATAAGTTTAGGCCTTTTTGAATAGTTGAAGGCAGCTTCTACTCTCTTCATTAATCTCTTCTGCTCTTAAAAATTATTCTTAGGACTTTCATAGATGACAGTAACACTCCAGCACCTGCTACCGCTTCCCCACACCTCACTTCTGCAGAAGAAAGCTAGCATAGAAGATGGCTTCTTAATCCCACATTACTGAATTTAAAGAGAAAACACTATAAGTCATGTATTCTTGTTAATTTCAGTGATGGAAATCTATGCCTCCTGTGGCCCTCCTCTGCATGTGATGGTCCCTGCAGAAGCAGAGGGAGATGTTCATTAGGTGAGCTGTATCTGAGGCTCAGTGATTATGGAGAGATGGAGATAATTTTCCGTTTAATATTTAAGGCTTTGGGGACATCAGTGCGAGAACATTTGACTTACCTTGGAGAGGACTATGAAGGCCACACATACCCCAGTAATGTAGATGGAGAGCAGCACTAAGAGCACTGTCAGGAGACTCTGCAGTTCCTTGCTGAGAAGCTTACTTTCTTAATTGTGGAAACAGAAAGAAACAGTCACTGTGGAGGCATATTCTTGCACATGTATGTATGTGTAAAGTATCATTGAAGCTACAAGTTACAGGTGAAATATGGACTCATTCTGTTTGCCTGTTCATGTAAGCTTCTTTGGGGGGAGTCTTTTGATTCAGAAGATATTAAAGTATATGATAGTTAAATCCATTTCATCAGTTCTTTAAATGTTTTATGCTAAAAATGATACTTGCTAGAGATAAAAAATATTTAAAAATTCAAAAATTTGATTAACCATCTGGTACAGTGCATTACTTAAACTTTTGAACCTAGTGTGTTCAAGGGCATTTAAGTTTTCTTTTGTTAGAAATAGTGTACAAATGTCATTGAGTCTGCTTATGAAGTTAAAATATTTTCACATCATTTGTGAGTGATGTCATGTATAATCTTGGAACTATTATAGTGAATGGTGGTGTCTATTAAAAACCCAAGCTGGGTATGGTGGTGCATACTTATAATCCCAGTGACTTGGAAGGCTGAGGCAGGAGGATTGCAAATTTGAGGCCAGCCTCAGCCACTTAGCAAGACCCTGTCTCAAGAAAGGGTTGGGATGGGGGCTGGGGATGTGCCTCAAGCGGTAGCGCGCTCGCCTGGCATGCGTGCAGCCCAGGTTCGATCCTCAGCACCACATACCAACAAAAGATGTTGTGTCTGCCGAGAACTTAAAAATAAATATTAAAAAAATTCTCTCTCTCTCTCTTCTCTCTCACTTTCTCTAAAAAAAAAAAAAAAAAAAAAAAGAAAGGGTTGGGATGGATGGAGTCAAGAAGATAATGCTAAGTGAAACCTAGCATTCCCATCCCCAAAAACCAAATACTGAATGTTTTCTTTGATATAAGGAGGCTGATTCATAGTGAGATAGGGAGAGGGAGCCTGGGAGGAATAGATGAACTCTAGATAGGGCAGAGGGGGTGGGAGGGGAAGGCAGGGGGCATAGGATAAGAAATGATGGTGGGATGTGATGATCATTATCATCCAAAGTACATGTGTGAAGACATGAATTGCCATGAATATACTTTGTATATAACCAGAGATATGAAAAATTGTGCTCTATATGTGTAATAAGAATTATAATGCATTCCACTGTCATATATAAATAAAATAATAATAAAAAAAAGGGCTGGGGATGTGACTCACTGGTTAAGTGTCCCTGTGTTCAATCCCAGTACCAAAAAAAAAAGCCTGTGAAGGCCCTCCATTGAGGATCATAGTATCCACTGCTTGCCTAAAAGAACTGCAGTCTATTTTTATGCATGTATGAGTTTGTTGGGATGAACCCAACTACTATAATTATAAAGCACTAATAAAAAATCTTAATAAAAAAAGGCATACTATTGTGACATATGTGCTTTCTGCTAAAAGTTCTAAGGTGAAATTACTGAACCCATTTTCACATTCTGAGTGTCTCCCGACAGGAGACATTCAGTGTTCTGTGCTCTAGGGAGAGATTAAGTAACATGCCAAGTCTTTTGATTAAAGTACAAAGTACAATTAGGTTTATAGTTATTATTCCAACCAAGTATCCCCTTGATTCTTATCAGTACATACATTTTTACATGTGAAACTAACAAATTAACTCTATACAACTTTTAAAAAATGTTTTGGTGCTAAATTAGCATCTCTGTAGAAAAGTCAGGAATCTTAACAACTTTTCAATTATGTACAAATCTTTTTGTGATCTTCATCTCTCTCTAAGCCATTTTGTTTTCTAATAATTTTTTATAGCAGGTTAATGCAGTGAGGCATATGAGTCTCTGAAGTCATCGTGTGTTTTCATATCAGTAGCTGACATTTATTGAGTATTTGCCATGTGTCAGGCAGTATTATAAGCTTTATATGTGGTAACTCATTTCTGATTTTCTTACAGGTGAGAATAAACTTCATTTAGAATAAACTAAGTGACATTCAAGTATCAAAAGCCTATTAGAATACCCCTAGTAGTCAAAAGCAGGGATCATAATACCAGACAGTTTTAGATCCTTAGAGTCCTATTTTAAAAATAAAGAGCTGGTTGATTTTGAGATGGTGTTTGAATGGAATGATCTCAGGCTCATTACATAGGAGAGTCATTTTTTAACGGCAAGAGGTCCTAGATTGGCAAAGTGCTACTGCCCTTCTTTTCCTTCCCCCAGAATCATGTGAAGCTTTTTCACTGAAGTTTCTCTTTTCTTTTTTTTTGTAAGAGGTGGGGTCTCACCATATTGCCTAGGCTGGCCTTGAATTCTTGAGTGCAAGCAATACTCCTGCCTCAGTGTCTCCAGTAGCTGGGACTACAGATGTGTGCCACCTTGAAATTTCATAATCTCAGACTACTGAGATTATGAAATGACTTCGTGAAATTACTGGTAGGAAAATCCTCACTTGAGTGAGAGATTGTCAGGGGTGTTAGCAGATCTCTAGAAGCTATTCTTTCTTGTCCAGGCAGAATGAGAAGGGCCAGGGATCCACCAGTGTGTTCTCTCCAAATTTGTATTTATTCTCCATGATGCATTTATTTCCTGGGTCTAGTTTATTGACTGTTTATGCTTTTCTAGTATATTGTTCTAGGTGGAGTAATTCTAGACCAGTTCCTGAGAAAGCTGAGTTAATCACAAGGGTCCCTGTGGAATTGGTGCCTTACACCTAGTCCCTATTGTAGACAGGAAAGAAGAACATGGTTGGTCATTCCTCATTAGTCAAATTTGGGTATGGAGACAGAACACAGTACCCAGCATGCTACTGACTGTATCTGGGTTGAATGGGTCTTGAATCCAAACCTATGGTGACTTGTGCTCCTCACATCACTGGCTAGGGTATTAAATTACCAATTTATCTCACAGTTGCATGGAAGTGATGTGAAGATTTTAAAGGTCTGAGCAAAATGTGATGACACACAGAAAAAAAGCCTTCATTGACTGACCTCTTACCACCAGTGTGGTCCCTTCTCCAGTTTGCTTGGCTCTCGATGTCTTTTCTCTAGGAAATGCTATTCCACAGATGTAAATTGCACTGTCATTTGATGTCACCCTGTTGACAGTGAGAGAAACTCGGTTCTGGGCCAGGGCTTCCCCCACTGTGAATTTGTCCGTTTCACTTCTGCATCCATCCAAGCACAGGTTCTCAGGCTGCTGAGCGCCATAGCGAAACCACAGGCTCATGGGTTGCTCTGAAGGGCATCCGGTTGTGGAGAAGGTGCACTCTATAGTGACAGCCTTATGAGTATAGTCCACCTCTAGGTAATGTGGCTGCCTAACGGAGACGGTACAGGCACCCACAGCACCTGGGGAGGAAGCAGGTGAGTGCTTAGCGGGCTGCTTTCTCTGATGTTTTGGCTGGAACCCAGCCGTTCCTTTCTTTTTCTTACCTTACTCTCAATACAATCAAGACTGTAAAAGTAAGACACAGTGATCCTCACTTGTCCTAACCCCATGATTCCTGACCTGGTTGCATGCCATCTGGTTACTTGAAGACAGCCCCAGAGAGGTTCAGTGGAGCTAGCCAGGCAAGCCGAGGCACCAGCATATCTGGGGTCAGAAGTTTGGGGTCCTGTTACGCTTGCTCCTTACAACCTCTCCTTTGATCTTGGGCAGATCACATCATCCCTTAGAACCTGTTTCCTCCCCATACCCCTTTCCCGTAAGAGTGTTGTATTCAGCGTGGTCAAGTGTTTCAAAGCTCCTCATACAAATGTTGCTGCCACTGATTGAGCTCATGAGCGGGAGCAGGGTTTTTCTTTTTTTCTTTTTGTCTTACGGGGTTTGGGATAGCTGGCAATTCATGGCCGTTTACAATGGTTCCTTTGTGAGCCCAGTGTCCATACTGGAAGCATGATAAAAGGCAAGACATACACCTGTGGAAATGCAGCCTTGGCCTAGCCTGCACCATCTTTGGTTACAGAGCAGAGGTCAAGTGAGTGAGTCCTACTGTGGCTAGCAGATTTGGTTTCTTCCTGGCACTTGTACACTGCACTGTAGGCCCTGTAACATTTATCCTATTTGACTAACAGTATTGTGTGATAAAGAGCCACAGACTGGTTCAAATCCTGACTCTAATGGTTCTAGCTCTGTGATCTCTGTGTCGCTTCCCTCATCATGGTGGGGATGATGTGGTTGACCTTATGCAGTTTGAGTCAAGTTCTAGTGCAGTGATGTATAGAGTATTTACTTGCCTAAGCTACAGTAAGTTTTCAATAAAACATAGGTCTTTCTGCTCCTGCCCCTGCCACTACCAATGTCCTCCTAGTGCCACATGCTCATTTTAGAGATAACTATGGGCACCTGTGTACGGGGTGTTCATAGAACTAGCCTTAACTCCCTGTCCAGTGCTCTCCCCATTGTGTGATGCTGCTTGGAGTGTTGGTCCCCACCTTGGTCTTCTAACACCAGGCATATGAAGCTGGAAAGCCACTCAGGAGCTTGTAAATGGGAAGGCCTGCCCCAAGCCCTTTCTGGGGACATCAGAGCCCTTAGATAAAACACTACTGGTTAAGTCAGATGGGGATTTATGCAAATTTTTGTCTGCTTTTTGCCTGGTTGTGTTTCCAACTGGTCTTATTGGTCTGAGTGTATCTTATAAATGAAATTAAAAAGTAATTCAGGTGTCTGATGTTTAAGTTTCAGACAGGGGCTCTTTTTCACTTAACTTTTTTCTTCTACATCCCCCACCCAAACAATAGAGGAATTAAAATTAGAATCATGGTATTTGTGATGAGAATCTTTTCTTAACCATGTTTTAATTTTAGAATTTGTACAGTTTGAGATGAGCTGGGAACTTTGAGTGACCTGAAACACATAAACCAGATGACAGGATGAAGTCAATCACCTGGGGAGGATGGGGGTTGGGTTTCCTGGGGCTTTGTGTCTGTGAAGGCTCAGCTGAGCTGGGTTTCCTGCTGAGGGGCCGATTCACTCCCAAGTCTGTTTGCTTCACCCTCTGTCTCCTGTTCAGGCTCAGTCACTTTAAAAGTCCAGAGGAACACTTCATTATATATATTTATATATTGGAAATTTGAAATGGAATTGGACCTGTCAGAATGTAACTGTAAAACAGTGCCTCAATCTCAAATTGTCTGCTGGGTAAAGTTTTAAAAGGGAAACTAACTTTTAACATTTTTTGTTAAGAACTGGTGCGCAGGGTAAGTAATATGAACATTTGCAACTTAGAAGGGTCCTATCTCTCCTTAGTCTGAGGTGGGTGAAAACCAGTTGTAGAGGTTTTCTTTGAAAGGCAGAAAGCTGCTCTTCTCTCCCCCAGCAGTGAAGCAACATTTTAGCAAAAAGAGAAGTTTGGGTAACGGCGCCCCACAGCCCCTTCCCGTAAAACATTCTTTCACAAGTTCCAGTGTTCCTTAGGCCCTTTGTTGTTGTTGTCAAGTTGGAAAATATGTGGAGAACTAGTTTTTGACACTTAAAAAGCTTATCATTATAGAACATTTCAGACGAGCAGAGCAGCAGCCAAGTGGAGTGGAGCCTGCCGTCCCCGCTGCAGCCTCAGCTTCCAGCCTCCCTCCCCACCCCACTCCCAATTAGGGTGGACTCCACACRTTTTGTTTGCACAGTTTTTAGACTATGTCGGGATTTTTCTTTAAAAGTAATATATACTTATGGGAGAAAAACGGAATAGAAGCAAGAAGCAAGCAAGAAGTCACTGCACTCCTTTTGCTTAAAATAACCACTGTTAACATTTTGATGTATTTCTTTATAAATGAGAAAACTAATATCAATTTTAAGAATTTTGCCCCCTTCCCTATAACGCAAATTTTGTGGGCTAATCTGAGGTTATTAGAACTGTGATGAAAGAAACCCTTTCTTTTTCATCGAGAAAAAAAATGGGTGTAGGCAGAATTTTAAAAATGGACATATTATGAAATGGCTGTTCTCTCTAAGAGTTTTGGCATTAAAAAAAAATAATAAGGACTTTAAGTTTACAGAAGTTCAGCTTTTTAGAAATACTGTTATTCCAGAGTGTTCATTCAGCAAATACTATTCAGTGGGTGCCATGTGCAGAACAAATTTGCTTGTATAGGAATTAAATTGTTAATGACCAGCACATGTGATCTTAACTGCATTTTCAGTTCTTTGGTGAGGTTTTTCTCTAATGCAGCATAATGCAAAGGGAATTTCAAGGTTAATATGAAACTTTTCCTCAGCTATTATTTATTACCTGTTCCTCTGGAAAAAGAGGAAACTTATCACCTTAGACCTAAATTTCCATAATATTATACATTTAAAAATTATTCTGTAGAGCTTAAAAAGTAAATGCATTAGGCAAAAGAGCAATTAATTTAAATAAAATGGAGAAGGAAAAAAAATACCTTACCGACATAAAATAGAACCAGATTGATTTCTAGACCGAGAAGGATCTTGCCTCTGTTCACAGTCTCCATTTCTTTCTGTATGCGTGCAGTTGTCGGGGGTGTGTTTGAAGAGTTGGGTATTTTTTTCCTCTTTTCTTTTTTTAGAAAGGAAGAACTGAAGAGAGGAACTCTTATTTAGGAACCATAATCGGGAACTTTTTGAAATTGTGTAAAGATGGTTTGTTGCAAAGTTTCACCATTTAAAGTTGAGCACATTTCTAAATGCCCACGTATACTTTTTGTGGATTGGATTATATAAATTCTCCTCACAAGTATTAGATGTTTTGTGTGAGGTTTTGCTTTACACATAGTGTGTGTTTCCTAAAAGGACTTTTGCTTCACACGTGGTACTTTACATTTTCAGACCAGTCTGGTTGCTGGTTGGGTCACCACTGTGTGTGTGCCTTGCTTTGGGCCAGTAACTGCTGGCTGTAGGGAAGGAGTAGAAAGACGTGTCTTCTTGTGGGACCAAGAGAATTAGTAAGAAATACACCCTCTGTCATTAACTGGTTGTGCCCAGCTCTGAATTTAAAGACCTCTTTTGAATGTGTTGTGAGTAGATGCGTAGGCCCCTGTGCTCTGGGTCCTTGTCACCCCTGGTCCTCTTATATCATGAGGCAGGTTAGCTGCAGGAACTGACTCAGGCTGACTTAGGAAAAAGGAAACTTATTGGCATGGTTGGGGTGGCCTGCAGAGTCCCTGGGAAGTCTGGAGAATCATGCATGGGGTCTATGGCTGGGAAGAATATGCCAAGTCACCCTGTAAAGCTGGTCTAAGAGTGTATCGCCGCAGCGACTGTCCTGGTACCACACAGCTGCTGTCCAGCCATGTGATTTCCCTGCCACTGCACTGACCTCCAGAGAAGGTCATCAGGTGTCCATCATGTGTCCCAGGTCTTGAGTGAGTGTGTCTGAGCCTGGGTCATGTGCTACCACCTGTGCTGTGGGGAGGTGGGGAGAGCCCATGCWTAGACTTGGCCTCCCGCAGGGAAGCCCCCGACCCAGGAAGAGGATGCAGGGCTGGGGCACTGAAGATCCCTACCACGCTTTTCACTCTGGTGTTCTCTCTCTTGCCACTGCTGATGACATATTTTCTCATGAACAGAAAGTTATTTTCAGTCTGAATTTAGTAACACATTTAAGAATATATGTATTTTTTTTACATTACCAATGCACCTAAAAGAACCCCTAAATTTAATTATACTTTCATCTTTGCATGTGTATCTGTAGTTAACGCTTGGTTTGTCTGTGAACCTGAAACATTGCTTGCTTTCCCCACTTTCCAGGCGTCTCATAGGTTTGGAAATGGCCGACGGTTGCCATTCCAAGAAATACCAAGCAACTCCCTACTTTCTAGTGTCCTTTCTCTCTCTGGACTAGAGATTAATTCTTTATAAAATTGTTCTGAAAAGTTAGGGAATTCGAAAACTTGAAAAACACACAGATGGTCTGTTTTTATAAAAACCCATCATGAGCCTGTTTTATTTCAGCCTGATAAATCTCTTTAGGTAATAGTTGAGTAAGTTTACTACGTCAGCTATATGTTCTTGCAGTTGTCTAAAACCCTCTTTGAAATAATATATGACTTTCTGATTCATTATTCTAGTATTCAATGACCAGTTTTCCAAACCCATTTACCATTAAAACCTCCAGTGAATCCGAAGGAGGTGTCCTCTGAAGCTCTGTCAGGGAAGATGGAAATGTGGACTTGGGTGCAGACAAACCTGGGGTTACATATCTGCTCTGCTGTCCATTAGCCCTGCACCTCTGGGCAAGTTCTTTAGCTTTCCAGTCCGCCCACCCTTCTCAGGGGGTGCTGGGAGTATGAAGGAGCTGACTACGTCCCATGCTTGGAACATACCAGGTCCTAGGAAACTCATTTGTTCAAGAATTTAACTTAATGTTTTTATTTGTTTTAGTAGGTGGCAAGTGGGAGAAACCATCAGAAATTTTGGAAATCAAGGGACAGAATTGGGAAGAACAAGTGAATAGCCTGCCTGAGGTGTTCAGAAAAGCTGGTTTTGTTATCGAAGCTTTCACCAGACTGCCATACCTGTGCGAAGGTGACATGTATAATGACTACTATGTTCTGGATGACGCTGTCTTTGTTCTCAGACCAGTATAGACTCATGGAGGCCAGAGTCTGCTGAGTCTGCCCCAGGATCTACCCTCCAGAAGAGGGTTCACAGTTATGTGATGGGAGGACCTTTGGGGACGGCCATTCTAAATATCATGTAGGAATTTAAAAAGCCAAAATACTAATTATTTCTTTGTAGTGTGTAAAAGGAATGTTTTTAAAAAACAAAAACCCAACTCTGGATTTTTATCAACTCTTTACTCAGTTAGAGCTGTTCTTCAATGCAGGTCACACTCCAGTTATGATGGAAGATATTTTTTATACTTAATTGCAGTTGGGACTCATTCCCAGACAAAGCAATAGTCATGACTTCATGGAGCCAATAAACGGATTGTTTTTAATAAAATGAAGACTGGCAATAAAGCTGTCCATTGAATTCCAAATATTGGTTGTAAGGTATAGCCACTGATATTCTTTCATGTTTAGAAACTCTGTTATTCAAGAAAATCTTTTTAATCATGCTAATAAACTTTTTTTGGAGATGACTTTGGCATCATGTTTGAGTTACTACAAGGCTTCCCTAGTGTTTTTTTTTTTTTTTTAAACTACATTGGCATCAGGAGTCCCCAAATAGTAGCATTATGTGAAAGATGCTGACAACCTGGGTATGTGGTGAAGGAAGGCTTCAGACTGGGACCGGGGGAGGATGCAGGTCTCAGTGAACACCAGGCTGTCTAGGTACCCCCAAAGACTCACCCTAGTCAGTGCTGCTTTGAAAAAATACAGAATCCTTGGTTCTGACCTTGGGCTAGCTTATACCCCACGTGTATAACTTGGTTTTCTGGGTCATCTTAGGTTCTCAGAGTTGAAACTTTCTATTGTATTTACTAACAATGCAACCTAAAAATGTTTTAATTCAACTACTTACTTAATACTTGTATACCTCCTCCCCTAAGCTTTGTTCTTTCTAGAATCCTTAACTGAGTTTATTATTTGCCAAGGGTATGGTTTGCTGAATACCATGTCAGACATGCATTCTAGAATCCATGAATGCCTCCGACCATAAACCTAGAAATATTGTAATAGAGGAACTCATTAGCAAGATCAATAACCATTGTGGATATTCCAAAGATCACAGCACTAAACACAGATCCTAAAATCTCAGTAATAACAGAGATGCCATTTGAGATTGTGGATATTAACAATATGTTATTCTCACAACGTTACTTCATTTTTCATCCAGGTGTTTCATTAAGTATTCTCATATACGTACTCATAGAAGTCATCAAATCAACACATTAACTGCAACACCTGGTATAAAGGAGATTTAAAGCCTTGAGATGAATTACTTTATTGTTCATTAGGAGCAGCATTCCCACATTCTCCCACCAATATCTTCCACTATTATTGTGCATTCATAATATGAATTGGGTTACGTGATTTATGCAAAATTGTTATTGGTGTGTTCTAATGATTTCTTCCAGGAATTAGAAAAAGTGAAGTACAGATATTTTGCAACCTAGATTGTGAAAATAGAGGAAATGAGTAAACCCAATGTAGTTCTTATACATTGGAGATTTGCTTCTTTCTTAAACTGTTATAATCAGGGGTTGCTGTTTTAAGATAGTAYTTTGAGAATTAATTTGATGGCCTATTAAAAGAAAACACAACTCATTCTTTACCCAGGAAAGCAGAGGAATTACATACATTTATGCATTTTAAAGATAAAAATCGTTTCTCAAAATCTTAGCTTCTCTGAGGACCAAGTTGTTAAAAGGTGCCATTCTGCCCTGAAAGTTGAAACCTGAATGCACTCACATTTCTGTCTGGTCTTAAAAGTCCTGGTGGTGCGTCACAATTCCACTAGATGGCAGTGTTGCTTAGGAGTGTTAATCACTTTTTCTTCCCTAAGTGGACTCTCTTCCCCTGCAAAGTATAATAAAGCTGCCTTGTCTGCACCATTTCTTGTGTAAAGTTCTTGATATCAAGTTAAAGTTGTGGTAGAAAAATGAAGAAGAGGTAGCCACTTGACCCTACAGGGCAAGGGAAAGGGATGCCGGCTGCACCTGCGAGTCCTGGCTCCATCCTCCTGTATTCTAAACCCCTAGAGTGTTCAGACTGCTGACTTCAGAGAAGGGAAGAAAAGAAGTCACAATGCCCTTAGTCATTTCTCCCGTGAGTGGAGTGGTTAAATTTCTGTAATTTCTCTCWTCCTGTTGGATGAGTTTTTATATAGTTGATGTGTGTAACAGAAAGTGGGCTCTGTTGGGCCACAAAGTAAAACTTGGGTGTTTCCAGATGTCTTTGTTTTTACTTCGTTCTGAGTACAGTAGTACCAGCTTTGTAATGAAGCAAGATATTTACATCAGTGCCTCCCGTCATTTGGTTAGTGATAAAGGTGGTCCACGGTCGTTCCTCTAACAATAGAGGCATTTTCATCATGCGTATGTGGTGGCTAATATGATCTGCAGCATTTGTTCAGATGCCTAAGTACCCCCAGATTATGTTCTATCCCGTGGATGTGTTAGAGAACTGAATCAGTAGTCTGGGAGTTCACAGAGCACAAAATGCGGTCATAGTTAACTAGAACAACTAGGATGCTCACAAATTGAACAACCCACTTACCAGAGATATAAGTTTATACCATATCCACACCTAAGAAATATTTGTGATCTACATGAAGAAAAATACACCCAGAAACTAAAAAGAGTAGAATTCAGTCTGTTTGCAGCTAATGGATACTAAGATAACAGCCAAGCAGCAGTGAACAAAGGTAAAGAAGAATCTTAKGTGCAGTTGTAATGGACTCCACCAGATCTTTAACCTTGCCATGCCAAACCTTGCTGTACCCAGTTAATTTCTTTACTCCTGTGCTTTTTCTGAAAGTTCTTTGTCAAGCAGGTATGATCTTAAACTGCTGTGTCTTCAAGGAGGTTTGTGTAAAGGATGGAAAAAACTTTGAAGTATAGATTACTGATAACTTTACAATCACACCATCAGATTGGAATTTGGAATACCCACAAGCCCTCCACAACCACCCAGCACGCTGGCTCGTTCTGCRAGACCCTACTTCAGCCCATGAGACCAGCAATTCCACCCGTGAAACTGGGACACTCGCACCTTGTCCCCCAAGGTAAAGAAAGGCCTTATGGAAGGTGAGCAAAGCCCTGACAAGGACAGGTGGAACAGTTAGTGGCTCTCAGGCAGTTGGTGGCCTTCTGCCAAAAAGAAAATAAAGGTAGAGGAACATACCATAATTGACCACTTGGAAATGCCCAGCACCCTTTGGGAAGATGTACTGGTCCTATGTAAAAGGCCAATGCATAGCATATGAAAAAGGTGCTGCTCTCAACTTGCCCCCCAACCTTCTAAAATTTTTGCTACATCTGGACATTCTAAATTTAAAGAATGGATGATAGAGTTAGAAATGATGTATTGTAAATGCCTATTAAAAAATCAGAAGTTTCTTCTGGAAGTGACTTTGAAATTGATCTGGACCATTTGTCCATGTTTGTTCAGTGGGTTAGAAGACATGGAGAGGACTTTGTGACAAGAGGGAGCTCCTGTGCCAGATGGGTTTTATGTATAAGACATTCTCCTATTATAACCATTGTTTTGTGTATACATTTTATTCTTCATTACTGTATATAGTTATAAATGCATTTTTTAAAAATATCTAGACTTTCTAGATGTTCTAAAGTGCCTGGAATATGTTAAAAGTAGAAGTGGTAAAATAGAACACATTTTGTAAATTTCTTTTTGTTAAAATTCTTATGAATTATTTTTTTTGGTCGGGAGGGGGCAATAGCCAACATCCTGCTGAACCCCCAGTTGTGTGCTGGTCCTCAGGAGTACCCTGCCAGCGTGCTTACGATGAGACGAGACTTGTTCCTTATGATGTCTATGGGTTTATTTTACTTTGCTGTGTGCATAGTGTATACAAAGGGCAAACGAGTCTCAATCTACATCTAGTCATTTTAGGTGTTAAAGAGATTTCCAGTGTATGAAAAAAGTGGAATTAGTCAACAAATTTTTTTTTGTGTGTGTTAAAATTCCTAGGAAAGATTGTCTTCTGAAAAATTGAGCATTGTAGCCCACTGGGTCAGTGAAGGAAGGCCAGATGCTCATATTTTAAAGACATTTTCAAATTAGAACTATTGTTACATGTGTGCAGTTTGTTCAAAACTGTTGTGTACATAGTGGACATAGTGAGTCCTTACTTGAAACATCTAGTCTGTCTAGATGTTTAGAAGTGTCTAAGGTATGTTAACTATAGAGATAGTAAAATATCACTTTGTAAATATCTTTTTGTTAAAATTCACATGAAATATTGTCTTTTGGGAATGGAACTGGTAAACCACCTTGGCAAGTAGTATAGTACTATCTGTACTTGTCCAGTGATGTGGAGTTATATGGAGGAGGTGAGAGGGAAGCAATTTCAAAAGGTAGTATGTCCGTGAGTGGACATTTTCAGACATCAATTTTCTGTATGTTTTGTGCATTTTGTTTTGCTGTGTATTATAATGCACAAGTAAGTCCCAAATTTGCAACATCCAGTCTCTAGATGTCAAAGAGGTTGATGGTAGTTAATAAAATTAGCACATTTTGTATTGAAATTCATAGGAAAGCTTGTCCTCTGAAAATGACTTTTGGATATGAATTGGTTCAACCATCTTTAAGCATTACTATGCCCATACTTGTCCACTGGACTGAAAGTAGAAAAAATTGAGGAGGGAAAGGATCAAGGACAAAATTGTCATATTAGAGGATACCTCAGAATATAACTGTTGCTATGTGTGCAATTTTATTTACTAGTGCTGTGTGCATAGTGGACAGGTTCTTTTTTAATATTTATTTTTTAGTTGTATTGGACACAATACTTTTATTTATTTTTATGTGGTGCTGAGGATTGAATCCAGGGCCACACAGTGCGAGGCGAGCACTGTACCGCCGAGCCACAACTCCAGCCCCAGTGGGTAGGTTCATTTGTGGAATATCTACTTCATCTATATATTTAGAAGTGTTTCATATGTTTGAAGATAAGAAGTAGTAGAATAAAACTTTTTGTAAATAATTTTAAAAGAAAAAGAAAAGCTAGGGGACTAGGAAAAGCTCAAATGACAGACATGATTGTATAAATTGACGTGGAATAATTACAGGACAACATTCAACACCTATTGCTAAAATCTCTCAGATAAAAAGGACCAGGGAGTGTTATGGATTAAATTATAATCCCTGAAGACAGGTGTAGGATCAAAACTACACACCTCAGAATAAGGTCTTTTTTTGAGAAATGACATTTCATGGTGCGATTACCTAAGATGAGGTGATAAGGGCTGGATGAGCTCACGGTTCAGCCTGGCTTGCCATCTTATAACAAGAGTTGGGTGGACTCTTGGTTTGGTGTGGCTTGTGTCCTTGAAAGGAGAGCAGAATAAGTTTTGATTCAATGTGACATATATCTTTATACAACTATCTTCATTTCTATTCAGTTGATGTTTGTAGTGAAGCATTTTAATTCCCTTACCTCTCATGTTGGGAATGT